AAATAGAAGAATTCTACAGCTTCTTCGATCTGAAATCAATCAAACATGCAATCAAGATGTATTGTTCATCACTGGTGATTTGAATGCAAAGGCTGAGAGCAAAGGATCCGTAGTTGGAAAATATGGCCGTGGTAACAGAAATGATGCTGGAGATCGCATGATAGAGTTCTGCAAAATCAATAATTTACTAATTTCAAATGCCTTCTTTAGACAGCATAAGAGACAACATGGACCTCACCAGATGGAATACATAGAAATCAAATTGACTACATCTGCAGAAAGAGACGATGGAAAGCTCTATATCATTAGTCAAAACAAGGCCAAGGGTAGACTGTGGAACAGACCATCAGTTGCTCATATGCAAATTCAAACTGAAGCTGAAGAAAATGAAAACGAGTCTACAAAAGCCAAAATATGACATTGAATATATCCCACCTGAATTTAGAGATCATCTGAAGAAGAGATTTGATACATTAAATACTAAAGATCGAAAACCAGAAGAGTTGTGGGATGACATCAAGGATATCATACATGATGAAAGCAAAAAGTCATTGAGAAGACAAGAAAGAAGGAAAACGTCAAAATGGAGGTCAGAAGAGACACTGAAACTTGCTCTCCAGCGTAGAGATACTAAAGCAAATGGAAGAAATGAGGAGATCCAAGAGCTGAACAGAAAATTTCAAAGGTCAGCTTCAAGAAGATAAAGCCAAATATTACAACAAAATGTGCAAAGATCTGGAGTCAGAAAACCAAAAGGGAAGAAGACGCTCAGCATTTTTCAAGTTGGGGAAACTGAAGAAAAAATTCAAGCCTCAACTTTGGCTATTGAAGGATTCTCTGGACAAATTATTGAATGATGCAGAAAACATGGAAGGAATACACAGAGTCACTGTACCAGAAGGATATGGTTGATGTTCACCTGTTTCAAAAGGTAGCATATGATCAAGAGCCAATGATACTGAAGGAGGACATCCAAGGTGCTTTGAAATAATTGGCAAAGAACAAGACACCAGGAATTGATGGATTGAAAAATGAAATCTTTCAAGAAAGTGCGGCGGTACAGGAGGCACTTGGTCATCTATGCTAAGAAATTTGGAAGACTGATTGGAAGAGATCCATGTTTGTGCCCATTCCAAAGAGAGGTGACCCAATGGAATGCAGAAATCATTAGACAATAGACAATCTGTTTGATAACCCATGTGAGTAAAGTTTTACTAAAGGTAATACCGAAACAGCTGCAAGTATACATTGATGGAGAACTTCCAGAGTTTCAAGCCGGATTCAGAAGAGGCCATGGAATGAGGAATATCATTGCTGATGTCTGATGGATCTTGGCTGAAAGCAGAGAATATCAGAAAGGTGTTCACCTGTGCTTTATTGACTATGCAAAGGCTTTTCATTGTGTGCATCATGACAAGCTATGGACAACACTGCAGAGTATGAGTATTCCGGAACACTTAATTGTGCTCATGAGGAATCTCTACCTAGACCAAGAAGCATTTGCTCGAACAGAACACGGGAACACTGAATGGTTTAAAATTTAAAAAGGTGTGCGACAAGGTTGTATTCTCTCACCATACTTATTCAACCTGTATGCTGAGCAAATAATCTGAGAAGCTGGGTTATATTAAGAAAAACATGGCATCAGGATGGAGGAAGACTCATTAACAACCTGCGATATGCAAATGATACAACCTTGCTTGCTGAAAGTGAAGAGGACTTCAAATATTTACTGATGAAGATCAAAGATTACAGCCTTCGATATTGATTGCATCTCAATATAAAGAAAACAAAAATCCTCACCACTGGTCCAATAAACAACATTCTTATCAATGGAGAAAAGATTGAAACTGTCAAGGACTTCATTCTTCTTGGCTCAACTATCAACACTCATGGAAGCAGCAGTCAAGAAATCTAACGACGTATTGCATCAGGCAAATCTTCTGCACAAGATCCTTTTAAGATGTTGAAGAGCAAAGATGTCATCTTGAGGACTAAGTTGCGCCTGACCCAAGGCATGGTATTTTCAATAATCTCATATGCGTGCAAAAGCTGGACAGTTAATAAGGAAGACCGTAGAAAAATTGATGCTTTTGGGTTATGGTGTTGGAGGAGACTATTGAAAGTGCCGTAGGCTGCCCATAGAACCAACAGATCTGTGTTGGAGTAAGTGCAGCCAGAGTGCTCCTTGGAGGCCAGGATGGCCAAACTTGGTCTCTCACACTATGGATATATGTCAGGAGGGATCAGTAGCTTGAGAAGGATATCATGCTTGGTAAGGTGTAGGGTCAGAGAAAAAGTGGCAGACCTCCAGCGAGATGGATTGACCAAATGGCAGCATCAGTGGACTCAAGTGTGGCAACAATAGTGAGATTGGCTCCGGATCGGGCAGTGTTTCATTCTGCTGTGCACAGGATTGCTATGAGTCGGTGCCAACTCGATGGCACCTAACAACAACAACATGGACAAAATATTGAATGATGTAGAAAGCATCAAAAGAAGATGGAAGGCATACACAAGAGTCACTGTACTAGAAAGAGGTGGTTAATCTGAAACCATTTGAAGAGTTAGCATATATTCAAGAGCCACTGGTACTGAAGAATATTAAAAGTCCAAGATGCACTGAAGGCATTGGCAAAGAGCAAGGCTTCAGGAATTGAAGAAATATAAATTGAAATCTTTCAAGAAACTGATGCAACACTGGAGACACTCATTCATCTAAGCCAAGCAATTTGGAAGATAGCTACCTGGCCAACTGACTGGAAGAGATATTTGTGCCCATTGAAAAGTAAAAATGACCTCACAGAATTAGAAATCATCTAAATCATCACATTAATATCACACGCAAATAAAATCTTTCTAATGATAATTTAAAAAGAAGTGTAACCATACATGATAGGGAGATGCCAGAGGCTCAAGCCAGATTCAGATGATGACATGGAATATGGAATATTATTCCTGATGTCAGATGCATCTTGGCTGAAAGCAGAGAAAACTAGAAAAATGTTTGTTGTTTACCTTAAGTGCCGTTGAGTCAGTTCCGACTCATAGTAACCCTTTATAGGGTTTCCAAGAGTGGCTGGTGGGTTTGAACTGCCAACTTTGCAGTTACCAGTCCAGTACTTATCCCACAGTTTACTTGTGTTTTATAGACTACCCAAAGGTTTTCGACTGTGTGGATCACCAAGCTATGGACAACAATGCAGAGAACGAGTATTTTGGAACACTTCCTTTTGCTCCTGAGGAACCTGTACATAGACCAGAGGCAGTCACTTCAACAGAACAAAGGGACACTAAATGGTTTAAAACTAGGAAAAGTGTGCACCAGGGTTGTATTATTTCACCATACTTACTCAGTGTTGTAAGGAGCTCTGGTAGCGTAGTGGTTACGAATCGGGCTGCGAACCTTAAGGTCAGTGGTTCGAAACTACCAGCCGCTCCGCGGGAGAAAGATGAGGCTTTCTACTCCCGTAAAGATTTACACCCTTGGAAACCCTGTACAGGGTCGCTATGGGTCAGAACCGACTTGATGGCACTTAACAACAACAACAACAACACTCAGTGTTATACACTGAGCAAATAATTAGATAAACTGGATTATATGAAGAATATGGCATCACGAATGGAGGAAGGCTCATTAACAACCTATGATATGCAGATGATACAACCTTGTATGCTATAAACAAAGAAAATTTAAAATACTTACTGATGAAGATTAAAGAAGACAGCCTTCAGTATGGATTACACATCAATCTAAAAAAAAAAAAACAAAAATCCTCACCACTGGACTAATAAATAACATCATGATAAATGGAGAAAAGGTTGAAGTTGTCAAAGATTTAATATTGCTTGGATCTACAATCAATACTCATGGAAGCAGCAACAAATCAAATGCTGTATTACATTGGGTGGAGTCCTGGTGTGGCGCCATTGGATAAGTACTAGATCTCAAGGTTGGTTTGAACCGCAAGGTCCGTGGTTCAACTCACCATCAGTTCCCCCAAAACCCTATACAGGGTCACTATGAGTTGGAACCAACTCAGTGCCACTTAACAATAACATTATATTGGGCAGATCTATTGCACAAGGCCTCTTTAATGTGTTCAAAGGCAAAGACATCAGGACTAAGGTGCACCTGACCCAATCCGTGGTATTTTCAATAGCCTCATATACATGTGAAAGTTGGTCAATTAGGAAAACCATAGAATAATTGATGCATTTGAGTTATATCATTGGAGAAGAATATTAAAAGTACCATGGGCTTCCAGAATAGTAAACAAAATTGTGTTGGATAAAGTACAGCCAAAATGCTCCTTAGAAGCCAGGACATATTATTAGTCTAGTCCGTGGAGAAGGACACCATACTAGGTATAGTGGAGGGTCGACAATGAATAAGACTCCCAATAAGATTGATTGGCACAAGAGCAGCAGTACTGGGTTCAAGCTTAACAACCATTATGGGAATAGCATAGGACCACGCAGTGTTTTGTTCTGTTGTGCATAAAGTTTCCATGAGTCATAACTGACTAGTTGACACCTAACAACAACAAGAAGCTTTCACATGCATATGAGGCCATTGAAAAATTGCCATGGCTTGGGGCAGACATACCTTAGTCCTCAAGGTGACATCTTTCCTTTTAGCAGGCTAAGAGGTGTTTTGCAACAGATCTGCCCAAAGCAATATGCTGTTGACTTCTGCATTCATGAATGTTGACTGGGATCCAAGTAAACTGAAACTCTTCACAACTTCGATATGATAATAATATTGCTTATTAGTTCAATTGTGAAGATTTTGTGTTCTGTATGTTGAGGTGTAAATCAAAACCAACCCAATGGCAGCCAGTTTGGATTGTTTTGTTGTTACCTAGTTTCTAGTTTTCTTCTTCTTAAGATGCTAGAAACAGATCTGATGTTAAGATACTCACTTAGTAGTTGTGGCCTCTTGTGGTTTATAATTGTGATTATATGAGTGTATGTTTGTTTGTTGTTTTTTTACTTAGTAATCCCCTCCCCACCGACTGCAGTCCGTGTCCACAACAGCACTGCGCACAGCATCCTGATCTCTTGGGTTCCAGGTTTCGATGGATACTCACCTTTTCGGAATTGCAGTATTCAGGTAAATTTCTAAGGTGAAGAGGGCAGTAGTTTGGTACTTGGTGGATTTATATTGTTTGGTACTTGGTGGTTATATTATTGTTCTTCTTGATGAAAGGATTTAGGATGTCTGATCTCTCTGTAGTGGAAAGTATGAGTCTTTTTTTGGCAATCCCTGCAGGATGCTTCATCTCTGTTGAATCCCTTGATCTCTCTACCCTGATATGAGCTCACCATGCATGGGTAATTTCCTGGCCATCTGCCCTAGGATGCTGCCTTCTTCCTGTGCATGGTCCAGGGCCCAACCAGAAGAGAACCATGTTTGTTAAGGGGGAATATCATGAAACCAGGGAGAATTAATTAAAATACAAAATACTTCCTAAATTAGGACTTTTGTATGGACTACATAATCAATATGGATTATACCTGAATGTAAAGAAAACAAAACACCTCATAATTGGGCCCACAGACATCATGGTAAATGGTGAAGAAATTAAAGTCAATGATTCATTCTACTTGAGTCAATTATCAATACACACGGAAACAGCAGTCAGGAAATCAAATAATGCATTGCATTAGATAAATCTGCAAAAGACCTCTTTCAGTTTTTAAACAGCAAAGACAAAGTCACTTTGGGGAGCAACATAACAATGCCTGATGTATGGTCTCTTTAATCACCTCAAATGCAAACAAAAGCTAAACAGTGCAAGAGCCAAATTAGAAGAGATGCATTCAAATTGTGATGTTCAGGAAGAATATTAAATATACTCTGACTGCCTACAAGAACTAGGAAATCAGTCTTGGAGGCAGTACAGCCAGAATGCTTCTTAGATGTGAAGATGGCATGACTGTGTCTCACTGAGTTTGGGCATGTAATTAGGAGGGACCAATCTCTGTAGAAGACATCACACTTGGGAAAGTAGATGGTCAATTAAAACGAGGGAAACACTCAATGAGAGGGACTGATTGACACAGTAGTTGCAATAATGGACTCAAACATGTCCGTGAAGAAGACACGGGCAGTATTTTGTTATATACAAAGTCACTATTAGTTAGTGCCAACTTGATATAAATGTTTGCTAAAACAAAAATAATATTAAGGCAGCAATAGAAACTGAGGTTTAAAGTGCAGTTTGAAAATCAGGGCAACATTTCCAATTAAAGAGTTCTAAAAAAGAAAAAGTTTTCACAAATTCTTATCCTCCAGTTTATGGTTCGTAATCATGCATTGCCATGGAGACAGGGTCATACTAGTGTTTATATAATAACTTATTTGTTGTTGTTGTTGTTAAGTACCCTGGAGTCGGTTCCGACTCATAGTGACCCTGCACAGGGTTTCCGAGGCTGTAAATCCTTTTGAGAGCAGAAAGCCTCAACTTTTTCCCATGGAATGGCTGGTAGTTTCGAACTGCTGACCTTAAGGTTAGCAGCTCGATTCATAACCACTATGCTACCAGAGCTCCTTATAATAACTTATGGACATGCAGAATTTCTTATAATCTTTTCTTTTTTAAGATTGTTGTGAAATGAGTGATAGTTTGATAGTTTACGTGGGAGAACATCGGTTTTGTACTAATCCTATCATATTTTGTTTCATTGCAATGATTACAATCCTCTCCATGCATCATCATTCAACAGTATTTGCTTCTATTCCTCCCCCCCTTTTTTTTTTTTAATGTACACAAAAACACTCAGGAATATAACTGACCTTAAAACATAGCTTCTAGTCTGTTAATATTTCTGTTGTTGGGAATAACTGCTCATAGATCATTCTTTAATAGAGCACATTGCCCAAGGGAACCTTTCTTTATTAGTTCAACTGAGTTGTTTTTTGTGTGTTTTACTTTTTTATTGTTAGATAAACAACTTTCAGGAGACCAGTTTGGGCTCTAAGTTGAAGGCTCTAGGATGATCTCAGAGCAATAGTTCGGATGAGTCATTTTAGCTTCCATGACTCCAGAAGATCTGGATACCGTAAAAATTAAAAATTCTGTCCACAACATTAAGTACTTCACTGCAAACTGAGGTATTGACTGTTCAGATTCACCCAGCATCTGTGTGGGAAGACCAGGTTCCATAAAAATTGCAATCAAGAAAATGCTGTAAGGCCGTTCAACTCTACCACATGGGGTTGCTGTGAGGCAAAATGTACTGGATGGCACTGAACACCACCACCAGCAATTAGGTGTTGCTTGTGGACTTGGAAGAAACCCTGGTGGCATAATGGTAAAACATTCACTTCTAATGGAAAAGTTGGCTGTTGGAACCCACCAGCCACTTTGTGGGAGAAAGATGTGACCATCTGCTTCTGTAAAATATACAGTCTTGGAAACTCTAGGAGGTTGGTCTATTCTGTTGGAATCAATTTGAAGGCAATGGGTTTAGACTTTGTAGACCAAGAGTTCAGGATCCCAAGCTCTCCGCAGGCTGTCTCCTCCTGGGCTGGTAGCCACGAAGAAATGGAAGTTGCGAAATGGGTCACTTGCGCTGTTGGTGTGAAGTGGTAGCCAGTGGCTCCTATGAAAGCTGAAGATTGCTGGTTTCATCAATACTGTTTAACCTTATCATTGGTATAAGACAGATACAGGTGAGCCATCCTAATGTGATACCTTGCTATATATGAAGTTGGCCCTGCTCTGGATGTTTATTGCATAAGAATGAAAATGGTAGCAAGAACATGACCATTTATTAAGCGTTCACAAGGACTTTGCAAACATCATCTGGTTTACAATCCACACTAGCACTGCAGACTCACAGTGAGAGTGATGAAACCAGAATTCAAGTGCAGGAAATTCTGATGCCAAAACAGTGCTCTTAGCTCTCTGCTCTGCGATTAATCAAGAGTGTCATTGTGTGTGGCAACAGATCATGGAACACGTGTACATTGTCCACTGATAACATGACTGATTTCTGCTGTCCACCGTGTTATACTGTGAGGTTGAGTATTTTTATTAGTTTCATAAATGTCTGCTCCTATTAGTTAAAAGCACATTAACCTGACACACGCTATCCATTCCAGCTCAGCTTAGAGAAGTGACTCCCAAATAATTTTGTGTGTTGACAACCAATGTTTATAATACCAGATGGAATTCGTTTCTGTGCCCCTAATGCCTCCCACTCTTGTCTAACAGCTGTTGTTTCTATGATGAGTCAAAACATTCAGTATCCACAAAATAGCCTCCACTCTCATCCCACCACCCCCAGACTTACTTAACTCCTGACCAACTTTAGTTGTAAACCTCCCAAGTATTGTTAAGTGTTTGGAATTCTTATGTTTGACTGTCCAAAAATTTCTCATAAAGGATTTTATTTTTATTTTTAAGATTTTAAAAAGATATATTTTACATGTAACATTCACCCATTTAAAGTATATTGTTGTTTTTATTATTAAGTGCTGTTGAGTCTTCTGCAACTCATAGCGACCCTATTTAGAGTTTTCAGGGAGTGGTTGTTGAGTTTGAACCACAGATCTTGTGGTTCGTAGTCCAGTGACACATCAGGACTCCTTTAAAGTGTAAGTTGTTAAGTGCTACTGAAGTCCCTGATTAACTTCAGAAAAAAAACTCTAAAGCCGCTAATCCTTTCACTATAAAATTTGACACTTCACTGCTTTCTCTACCTCATTATTTCCTTCTTCTTCAGCATTTTTCCCTCTTCAAAATCCATTGAGTCCTGATTTATCAGTTCTCCTGCTTTGTGATTTATTTCTGAGCTGCCCCACACTGGTGATAGTGATGTTGTTGTTAGGTGCCATTGAGCTTCTAGCACTCCTGTGCACAACACAATGAAATACTGCCTCGTCCTGTACCATCCTCACAATTGTTGTCATGTTGGAACCCATTGTTGCTGCCAATATGTCAATCCATCTCACTTTACCAAGCATGATGTCATCCTCCAGAGATTGGCTCCGACTGATGACATGTTTGAAGTCTGAGAGACAAATTCTCACCATCCAAACTCTCGCCATGCTTCTACGGAGTATTCTGGCTGTACTTCGAAGACAGATTTGTTTGTTCTTCTGGTAGTCCATGCTACTTTCAAGATTCTTCTCCATTGGTGATAGCAAGTTCTAGATTCAGAGTTCTTACCATGTGGATGATTTTTCCACTGATCTATTCCATCGTATAATCCTGATCAGGTACTTGGAGTGTGTTAGAAAACTCAACAATTTTTCCATATTGTCTGCATGCATTTTCCCTATAATTTATCAGTTGGTAGACATTTGAGTTGTTTCCATTTTGGGCTATGATGAGTGATGCTGTTGTGAATATTTCTGTATAAGTTTTATGTAAATACACTTTTAAATACTCTTAATCATATACCTAGGAGTGGAACTACTAGGCACTGGATCTTATAATAACTCAATGTTTACATTTTTGAGGAACTATGCCATGTTACATTCCCACTAGCAATTTCTGAAGGTTCTAGTTTCTCCACATTCTTACCAACAATTCCTGCTGCCTCCCCTGCCTTTTTTTTTTTTTTAATAAATTATTAGCTATTCTAGTTTGAAGTCCTTGTGTGGCACTGTAGGATAAGCACTGGACTGTTAACCACAAGGTCAGGTGTTCAAACCCATCAGCTGGTCATTAGAAACCCCTATATGGGGTTGCTATGAGTTGGAACCAACTTCACAGCACTTAACAAAAATAACAAGTGGATTTGAGATGGTATCTTATTGTATTTTTGGTTTGCTTTTGTCTAATGGCTAATATTTTAAACCTAATGGTTTACAATTGGAAAAAGCTTATGACAGGGTTGTAGCCTTTCACCTTACTTTATATAATCTGTATGCTGAACAAATAATCCAAGCAGCCAGACTATATGAAGAACAATATAGCATCAGGTATGGAGGAAGACTTACGAACAACCTGCAATACACAGACAACACAACCTTGCTTGCCAAAAGTGAAGATAGCGTGAAACACTTACTGATGAAGGTCCAAGAGTGTAGTCATCAGTATGGATCATGCTTGAATGTGGAGAAGATGGAAATCCTCACAACTAGACTGTTAAACATTGTGATAAATGAGAAAAAATGAAGTTGTCAATGATTTTCTTCTACTTGAATCAATGCCCATGGAAGCAGCAGTCAAAAAATCAAATCACATCCTGTATTGGGAAAACTTGCTGCACAAGACTTTTAAAACAGAGGTATCATGTGGATGCCTTCTTTGAGCCTGACCCAAGCCATGGACTTTGCAATGACCTCCTGTGCATTGCAAAACCTGAACAATGGAAAAGGAAGACAAGTTGATGCATTCTCATTTGCTTTTATCTGAAATTCAAATTCAACATGGTCATACTCATATACTCTGTTTTCTCCAACAATCCTAGATGGGTTAGTCAGGACTGACTCTAGTAGTTATACTTTTATGTCTGTTGATTTATAGTGTATTGCCATTCCTGAAGAGACCAAGTATGGTTTTGTAGCATGTTCTTAGTTCATTACAATTTTAAACTCTGACTTGGTAACAAATGAATGTTTTGGACAAGATTCAGATCCACACACTGCAGGACACACCCTCTTGTTTCCTTTGGTCATGACATTAGTTCCTTTCTTCACCCATTTTTGGGCTACATACTCCATTTCTATTTTTAACTCCTCCATGTACTTCTTACCATTTTATGCCCTCTTTTTTTCCTGAAGCCCACTGAGAACTGTTATTGCAACCCCATCTTCTTCCAGGAACGTGTTCTCAAAGAGTGCTCCCATGCCAGGAAATGCACTGCACGTGATTCAGGAAATGGGAAGGAGGCAGAAAGCCAAAGTTTTCCTCAGGCTTAGGTTTAGTGGTTGATCACCAGGAAGTAGGTGCAAATGCTAAAGTGGAAAATAAAACCAAAAACAAAGAATTTCTGCCACGAACCATCCCTGAGATAAAGCACATAGTTTCTTAAGTCTCCTGAGGGGACCTCTCAGGCAACTGGTGTCTTTTTGCCACCCAGCGAGGTCTGCGAGGTCTAAGTCAAAGAGGACACTTGACCACCAACGCCACCCTTATGGTATCCACTAGGGAATTTGGAATTCCAGAATGTCTGTTTGTGGTCCCTTGACCTAGATTTCAAACATATATATTCTGAAATAACAGCATTGTGTTCCCATAGCCCATAGCAAGCCCATTATTAACCAAAATATGTCTTGTGCTTTTTTTGTTGTTGTTTTGGTTTGTTTTTTTTTTTAGTTGATTTTTGTTGCTTTTAACTCATAGGATTTTGTCCTTCTGATTTTGTAGAAATTCTGGAAACAAACAGCAATTTATAGTTGAAAAATAAGTATATTTTAGTCACTTGGCTTAAGGCAGGATTTTTCTGTGAATTGCCCTCTCTCACCAGTGACAACAGAGGTGATTTAGAGAGGGATGTAAAGGAAAGACTTTGGGATTTGTGGAAGGGAGCAAAAGAAGAACTCAGAGGAACGAGCAAATGTGTTTAAAGATTTGGACAAAAACTTGCTGGGTGAAGTACAAATGACACTTTTTTGTCTACACACATACACACCGAACCCTATAATGTACATTATCTGAGTATGCTTTCGGAGTTGGATTTATATTGGGGTTTTGTGGGCAAGGTAAAAGACATCCTAAAATCACAAACAAGATTGCAGATTGGGTGGAAGAGCAATAAGGAGTTTCGTCAGCAACAACACAGAATACCCGACCAAGCAGGCTCAGGGGATGGTCCCAGAACTCTGAACCACATATAAAGGAATACTTAGAAGGTTGGAAGACTTACAGCTGGGGGAATTTGTGGCAGAAGCAAGAAATCCATTGCTTTCTAGTTCGGGATACTCAGCTGTTCCAGGAGCCGCCATCTTGGGTGAGGCCAAGCGGGGGAAGGATCAGAGCAGCCACAGATGCCTGACAGAACCTTGGAGATAAAGGTGTGGACATTCTTTTGGTATCTGTTCATTGGTCCCTTGTTGTCTGAGCACCTCCATTCGGGTGACTATAGGGGTGCCTGAGCTAGTGGACACCCCAGCCCTTCCCTTGGAGGGCTCTACTACGCATGCTCACAGATCTCCTCGAAATTTAAAGAGACAGTTTCCAATTAAAACCAAACAGCCACAGACGGCCCTGAACTGTTTATAACTAGAAAAAAAGGCCTGAAGGGGGATTGTGGAGCTGGACAAGCAGACAAAAAAGGAAATAGGCCAAAAATTAAATCCTAAATTATATCAAAACGACCAACAATGGTATCTTGAAATTTCTCAAGAAGAAGAGTGAAAAGGGAAGCCCTTGTCCTGATCACATCTACCTGGAGGCAATCAGAAAACATAAAAAATACCAAAATACACACCCATCTAAGTATTAAGGCCACAGATAACCACTGGATATGCCCAAAAACAGAAGCAGATGACCATATCTGCACATGTCCAGAAACGAGATAAAGTCAGTGAAATCAAGGAAGACCACCAACGAGATGGATTAGATTAGCACAGTGGCAGGAACAATGGACTCAAGCGTGCCAGCAATTGTGAGGATGACAAAAGGCCAAGCAAAGTTTTGTTCTGTTGTGCATCGGGGTCGGCTATCAGTCGGAACCAACTCGATGGCACCTAACAACAACCACCGCATTTTTTTTTTTAAAGTGCATTCATCTGTTGATGAGCTCTTTAGGCTTTTTCCAACTAGTGCTAAATCTTGGTTGTGGAAGCGATTATGTTAAAATACAAACATAACAAAAATTCTTTGAATTCTATTCACAAATGAGTGCTTGTAAAACAATCCTAACAAGCCTGTGCGTTGTGCCGATGTCAGTTTCCTAATTTTGATATCCTGCTGTAGTTATGAAAGATGTTTTCATTGATGCAGGCTTGGTGAATGCTACATGAGACCTCTTTGTCCCTTTTTTTAAAAACCTCTTATGAATTTACAGTTATTTCTAAATAAAAAGTTTAAGAAAAATTCACATGAATGTTCACATCCAAATTTGCAAACACCTCCAGTTGTTTTCATCACATTCTATACTGTAGAATTTATAGAACCAGATTGCTGTTCAAAGGAGCTGAACATTTAATAATTAATTGACTTTATGTCGCTCCTCAGAAACCCTATATAGGATTGCTATGAATCGAAACCAACTCCATGACACTTCACAACAATTCACAAATGATACACCATTTTGCATTTCTCCAGTTTGTATAAAGCTGCATGCCCCTCTTGTGTATTCTAAATATGGAAAATGCTAACCCATATAGTGCATATTTCAACATACTGACATGGGCGGGGAGTGGAGTAGGGAGGGGCCCAGAACACCTCTAGTAAGTGAACACTATGAATTCTTCTGTTGACAATCTTATTTGCAGATAATCTGGAATCATCTGTATGTCCAGTGTAGTTTTCTTTCAGCAATCATGAAAATGTTTCATGTAAAAACAAATGAAGCCCAATGAAACAATATATGATAGGATGAATGTAAAACTAATATTCTCCCATGTAAATTATCACATAATTCACAATAAAACATTTAAAAAACAAAACAAATTAAACCCAAAGTCATAGCCATCAAGACGATTCTGACTCATAGCGAGGGTTTCTGAGACCGCTAACTCTGTACAGGAGCAGACTGTGTCATTTTCTCCCTCAAATTAGCTGGGGGGTTGAACCACTGACCTTAAGGTTAGCAGCCCAACACAACCCACTGTGCATTCTAATAATTTCACTGTGTCATCTAGATTTCACTGTGTCATCATGTTTAAAAAAGGAAAAAAAAACCAAAAAACTGGTTTAGAATTATAGTAAAGATCTCTGCTTTATATGGAACATAGGGGGTAATATCACCAGAAGGAGGTAACATAAAGAGAAATGAAGGGAAAACTTTATATTAATGGAACAGTGGAGCTTTAACTCCTTTCAGTTTGTGAACTCAGCCACACGAACTCCCAGTGCTTGGGTAGCTGGCGCGTCAGGGCCCAGGCAGGTCAGCCACAGCGTTCTCTAGATGAACTACAGGACAGCAGTTATAGATTCGAGCGTCACAGCAGTCCTTGATCTACGAAAATGAGGCCACTCAGAGAGGTGAAGTAGAGTTTCAGATTTTATTAAGCCAGCTGGCTCAAAGAAGCTAATTTCTCCAGAATCTGAGCGCCTGAATACAAGGCAGTGCAGACTTATATAGGGTCAGAATCGGGGAGGGGTTAGGTTGCAGACCTGTTTGAAGACAGGAGGGAAACCAGAGGATTGGTTCCACTCAGCAACCTGATTAACATTCTAGCTTGTCTCCTGGGCAGAGAGGTCAGTGAATGGTTTTACCTTTTCCTGTTCACAGGAGGCAACTGGTTGATTAGGTTTGTCATCTGCTCTGATGATAAACACATCTAGGCTTTGTGTGCCTCACCTATTCAAGTCCTTGATTGTGCAACAAAGTCTGGATTTGTCATGGAAAACTGTATCATGCTGCAGATGGCTGCAGAGGGAGCAATCTGTGGAACAGGCCAAAGAAGGAAACACAAATGGAATGGATTGAAGGGAGGAGGGGCTGCTTTGTTTTATTTTAGAACGATAATTATTTGCTCTGTTAACCTGCTGCACTGTGAGCATTTACTTTAGTCATTATTTCCGGGACCTCAAGTCTTTCTCTAGTAGCATGAGTAATGCACAGTAATGCTAGCAGGAATATTTTGTGTGCCTTCAAAGGAAACAGGTATTTCCCCTCCATGGAGAGGAAGGACCATGTGCACTGAAAGCATGCATGCGTGCCCCGTGTCTATCAGTCCCAACACCTTATTAACGCTTGGTTCACATTTTTATTCTTCATCCAGGTGGAGGAAGTTGATCTGCTGAGTAGTGGCTCACTCATGATTTTTAATACCTCTGCTTCACCACATCTGTATCAAATTGAGCAGCTGCAAGCCTTGGCTAATTACAGCATTGGCGTATCGTGCATGAATGAAGTAGGCTGGTCTGCAGTGAGCCCTTGGGTTCTGGCCAGCACAACTGAAGGAGGTAATTCTGAGTTCAGAATGAATATCGCGTTGATGGCATGTGACTAGCAAACCCTTCCCTGTGGCCTAATAGAGAGCTTGAACATTGGTCTGTCTGGTCTTTGTCTCTGAAGGAGACTGTAACTGAGGTGGCCTATGAAAATAGGACAAAGTATATTTCCTTATTTACTTTAAAAGGGCTTATTGATAAACTTATACTTTCTGTGTATAGGTAATACTATGAACCACAAGGTCAGCAGTTGGAAACTACCATTTGTTTCATGGGAGAAAGATGAGGCTTTCTGCTCCCTTGAAGATTTACAGTCATGGAAACCCTGTACAGGGTGGCTATGAGTCGGAACCGACTCCATGGCACATAACCACCACCACCACTGGTGTGGCACTGTAGGATCAGCACTTGGACTATGAATCATAAGGTCAACAGTTCAAACCTACTAGCTGCTCCTCGGAAACTCTATACAGGGTTGGTGCTATGAGTCAGCACCGACTCAACCACTTAACAACAATATTAATAGCAACAACAACATTAATATCATCATACTTTTTAAAGCATTATAATGACTTATCAGCCTACTTCTGGTATTTTTGGTTTAAACAAAAATTTTTATATTTGATTTTCATTGAGTCAAGTTTATCTACATTAGATTCCCTTTTAGAAAATTACTACATCACTATAACTTGTCTTATCGTGCCCACAAGCAAGTTTTCAAATAAAGGTACTAGAAATAAAAATAAATACAAGGTTGGATAAAAACACAGAATAGATTAAGTGTACTATTACCTTCTTAATAGATGTTTAAATAAATATTATGTTTTAATTAAAAAGAATATCTTCGTTACATAATAGAAAATGTAATTTCTATTATGACAATGTAGTTGATATCAAATGGCTAGCTAGATATATTTAGAAGAGTATGTTCTGAAACACGTCAGTGCCAATAAAGGTAACTAATGGTCATTTAATATTGAAAAAGTTTAGTACATCAAAGCCGAAAAACAGCTCTGCTATACACTGCACAAAGGAGCTCTGGTAGTATAGTGGTTATGAATTGGGCTGCGAACCGCAAGGTCGGCAGTTCGAAACTACCAGCTGTTGGCGCAGGAGAAAGATGAGGCTTTCAGCTCCCATAAAGATTTACAGCCTCAGAAACCCTATACAGGGTCGCTGTAAGTCGGAACGGACTCCACGGCACATAACAACACCACCACCACCCTCTAACCCGGAGTTCTGGTGTGGTGCTGTGGATTAATGCGCTGGACTGCAAAGTAGGTTTGAACTGGAATGTCGGAGGTTCTAGCTCACCAGCCACTCCTCGGAAACCCTATACAGGGTCGCTATAGGTTGGAACTGACTCGATGGCACTTACCAACAACAACTCTCTATCCCAGTGTAGCGCTGTGATAATGCCCTGGACCGAAAGGTCAGTTTGAACCGCAAGGTCAGTGGTTCAAATTCACCAGCTGCTCCATGGAAACCCTATACAGGGTCACTATGTGTCAGAATCCACTCCATGGTTACTAACAACAATAACACCTCTAGCCCATGAATATTTTCCCCCTACCTCCCATAATCATCACAAATGTTTTTTCAAGAAAATCTTTCTTTAACTTTTTACAACATTGGTGTCATACAATGTAGATTCATTATTCTTAAACATTTAGGAGTATTCCATTGTTTGTATGTACAAAAATTTGTTTATTCTTCTGTTGGTGGGCATTTAGGCTGTCTCCATCTTTTTGATACGTCTCCTGTAGAGAGCATAGTGAACGATCCCGTCTTCTTCTTCAGTCTGCTCTTTAAGTCTCTTGGCTGGTCTATTTAATCCACTTACATTCAGTATAATTATCATTAAGTATGAATTGATTGTTGTCATTTTTCTGTGTGTGTTTTTCTGGCGCTGCTTGCTGGATTCTTTGTTCCACATAGTTGTCTATGCTGAGTTCATTTTGTTTGTGTGTATTCTTTTCATTTTCATTTCTGTTGTGTTCATGTTTACTAAATCATCCTGATTTTCCTTATTTATTTTGATGTGCAGTTGTATTATTTTTCTTTAAGGTTATCCTGTAACTTATTCAGTTTTTCCCTGCTTAAACAATCTGTTTTATCTTGACATCTACTTGACTTCCTTGCCATTTGTAAATTCTGTATCTGCATTATTCCCTCTTTTGCTTTATAATTGACTTCATTATACATTGATATCTCTGGCTCCCTATTTTCAGTCTTGTAGATTTGGTTTACTTAAATATTTTTATATCTGGATTGAGTTCTGGGTGGTGTTGTCATGAATGATAATCTCAGGTTGCTGTCTGTTGTTGGTTCTCAGTCCAAAGAACACCCTTTAGCATTTTTGTGCAAAGTTGGTCTGATCAGTACAAATTCCTTTAATTTCTTCTGTTTATCAGAAAATGTCCTAATTTCATCTTCATATTTGAGGTACAACTTTGCTGGATATATTATTCTTGGTTGCAGTCATTTTCTTTTAGAGTTTTGTATATGTCATCTCATTGACTTCTTGCCTGCATGGTTTCTGCTGAGAAAGCAGAGCGTGTTCTTATTGGTTCTCCTTTGTAGATAAATTACCATTTTTCTCAAGCTGCTCTCAGGATTTTTTTCCTTGTGTTTGATCTTGGAAACTTTTATTATGATATGTCTTGGTGATTTTCTTTTGGAATCTATCCTGTTTTGGGATTCGTTCAGTTACTTGCATGCTTATTTTTTTCTTCTTCTAATTGTTCTTCTAGCATACTAGTGTTGAAAGATTTCTCTTCAAGCTCGCTAATTTGGTCTTCCATTGCTTCACATCTACTCCTTTGCCCTCTCATTGTATTGTCCATTTCTGAGATCTCGGTATTAATCTGGATTTCTTATTGCAGGTTTGTATTGTTTCAAAATTTGCATTGATTTTGTCTCTTTGTTCTTGTAGTGTTTTCTTGAATTCTTCTAAAGTTTTTACAGTTAGTTGTTTTACCTTTCTTCCTCAAAAACGTCTTCTGGTTCTGCATTTCTGTCATTTGTTTAAGCCATTTTCTCATGTTTCTTCATGTGAGCTAAAATTGTCTAATGAGGGTGGGGGCTGGCCACACTTCTTGCCAGCCGAGAAGCATGGGTAAAAAGAAGAAATCATACCTTTTCTGTGACTGCTTAAATACCAGGCCTCCTCCCTCTGCCGCCAAAGCTGCTCACAAGATGGTGGAGCATTCAGCAATCAATCTCCCTCTCTCACAGTTCCTGCTTGACCTCTTCTCCCAGTAAGCACTCCTCCATCTACCTCTCTAACCCTTTCTTCTGAAGTTCAGGGTGCCAGAATTTTCACCTGTGTGTTTTTATTTTCTTTCTTCATATCTTTGTTGTAGATATGAGAGAAAAAATAAAATGTTTTCTCTCATATCACTTCGATGTAGTGAGTCTGCCTAGTCTAGCATCATACTGTAAGTCATTTTTCATTTCTAAAATGGGTCATTGACACATATTTTTTTAATAATTTGATATTTTTCCCCATTTCATAGTTGTTGTTTTTTTCTTTTTAAAACATATGTCTGTACTAGTACCACTTGCTGTTGACACCAGTTCATGGCAATCTCACGTGTTTCTGAGTAGAACCATTTTCAGTGACTTGATTATTCGGAAGAAGATTTCCAGGCCATTTTTCTAAGGAGCCTCTGGGTGAACTCAAACCTTCAACCTTATTAGCTGAACTAATTAATCGTTTGCACCACCAGGGACTCTGTTAATATACATAAATATAACCAGTTTCTTTTCAGTGGCTGGATCATAAATATTTCACTGGATAAATGTATCAAAACTTAGTGTAATATGATTATTGTTTGAGCATTATGTTTTTCCTTGTTTGTTTGGTTTTTTTTGTCAGTGTAGTGCTGCAGTGAATATATAACATTAGTTGGAAGGGATTTTTCTAGTTTAAATTCTTGGAACCAAAGATACTTTGTAAACAGGCATGTTATTTTTCATAAAAATATTTTAAAAGACTATAGTAATAACTTTGCTTTGTTCCCCAAATTACTATATGTATAATGTCCACACACACATACACATATTTTTTAATGTATTGACTAATTAGTCAATGAATCTTAAGATTTCAGTCGCTTGTTAAGAGTTTACTCTTAAAAACTTATGTGATGACCCAATGGTCCTTAGTTCAAATGAGGTGGGAAATCATTTGAGTGCTTTTCATAGACTATTTGAAAACTAAGGTCTCAGAACCCAAGAAGAGACTGAATCTATGTATGCATTTTGTTGCGACTCTTCAGTTGTCTCTTTTTCTTTTCTAGCCCCATCAGTAGCACCTCTGAATGTCACTGTGTTTCTGAATGAATCTAATAATAATGTGGATGTCAGCTGGATCAAACCTCCAATTATGCGTCAGAACGGGAAACTGATAGGGTACCGGCTATCCCACACATGGCGGAGTGTGGAAAGTTCTGTAAGTCCAAACTCTAAAACAGTGTGCTTCATTGTCTCCTTTTGACTTGCCAACTTGATCCTGTTATAGACAAGCTTCCATTTTCTTGTGAAAAGACCTAACACTGTTATTGAGTTGATGGGAGTCACTATTCAATGAGACAAAGAAAGAATAGTAAAAATTAGGTAACTGAATCATTACTTAATTCCAAGGAGTCTTTAAAATGTCTCCTCATTCCCTCATTCATTTGGTGTAGACAGCAAGGGCGCCTAAGGACATTTTGAAATCCAGGAGTATAATTTGAGAGTTATATATTATAAAGATGGCTTATGTTATTCTTCTTCTTTTACAAAGAAGAAAGTTGTGTTTATCAATTTAAGTAGCTTCCAAATCTGCTAATGAAGACTGGCTAAGTAACTCAGCAGGGGCTCCTGGCCACTATCCCCAATACAAGAGTGGACATTAAGTTGATTGCAACACATAGCAACCACACATATGTCAGAGTGGAACTACCGCCGTAGGATGGTCATTGGTTGATTTTTTTTTTTTAAAGTCTATTTCCAGGCCTTTCTTCTAAGTTGTCTCTGGGTGGACTCAAACCTTTTGGTTAGCAGCAACGGGCACCAGCCATTTCACCACACTATGACTCTAGATCATTCTTTAAGAAGGCTTTGTTGCCAGCTAAGAAAGTGTAGAACACCAGAAAGGATACACCCATTGTGAACGGGTGGAAGGATGTTGTGAAGAGCATCGTCAACATTAAAGATGACCTTGCTGTCTCCCTCTAAACCCCAGTGGCAGCAAATATAGCAATCAGCTAAGAATACTTTTTTTGTTGTTTTTATGCCCTGTCTAGAGACTTTTATTCAGGGTTAGGAAGAGGAAGGTGACCTGTGCTGGAGAGAGAAAGCAGAAGGCAGAAAGAAGAGAGAACAGAGAGAGAGAGGAGAGAGAGAGTCAAGAATACTTTTTTTGATTCAGCTGTTTCTTAGGTAACTTACTTCCCTACCACAGAAATGGATAAAACAATCATTTAAGAGAGAATAGTTTAGGGCTTTCATACTTTGCCACCATCACTCATCTGTGAGTCTGTTGCACTATGGTGGCTTGTGTGTTGTTGTGATGCTGGAAGCTGTACCACCATTATTTCAAATACCACCAGGGACACCTGGGGCAGACCAGTTTCGGTGGAACTTCCAGACTAGGAAGAAGGAAGAGGCAGCCCACTGGATGTTGGGAAAGACTCTGAAACTTGCTCTTGAATGTAGAATAGCTAAAGTGATGGGAAGAAATGATGAACTAAAAGAACTGAACAGAAGATATTAAAAGGGCATCTCAAGAAGACGTTATAATGAAATGTTCAAAGACGTCGAGTCAGAAATCCAAAAGGGAAGAACATGCTCAGCTTTTCCCAAGGGAAAGGAACTGAAGAAATGAATTAAGCCTCAACTTGCAATACTAAAAGATTCTATAGGTAGAATGTGATATGTTGTTGTTGTTAAGTGCCATCGAGTCGGTTCTGACCCATAGTGTCCCTGTACAGGGTTTCCAAGGCTGTAAGTCTTTATGGGAGCAGAAAGCCTCATCTTTCTCCCGCGGAGTGGCTGGTAGTTTCGAACTGCTGACCTTAAGGTTCGCAGCCCAATTCGTAACTGTTACGCTACCAGAGCTCCTTGGAATATGATATGGGAAGTATCAAAAGAAGATGGAAGTAATAGAGAGTCACTGCACCAAATAGAATTGATTGATGTTCAATCATTTCAGGAGGCAGCGTCTGATCTAGAACTGGGGGTACTGAAAGAAGATGTCCAAGCTGCCCTGAAGGTGTCAGGTGCAACAAAGTGACATGACATCAGTTTTGTAAAATCAGAAAGGTGTGCATCAGGATTGTATCCTCTTACCATACTTACTCAATCTGTATGCTGAGCAAAGAATTTGAGAGGCTAGACTATATGAAAAAGAATGTGGTCTCAACATTGGGGGAAGACTCATTCATAACTTGTGTGATAATGCAGATGACAAAACCGTCCTGGATGAAAGTCAGAAGGTCCTGAAGCAGTTACTGAGGTAAATCAAAGACTACTACTGCCTTCAGTGTGAATTACACTTCAACATACAGATAGCAAAAATCTGCACAACTAGACCCATATACAACATCAATGGAATGAAACCCAGCCCAGTCATGCTATCTCCATGACTCATTTCAGATTGAACCACTGTGACCCACAGAGTTTTCATTAGCGGATTTCTTCCTTAGTTCATTTTAGTCTGCATTGGCCTATTCAGCATCACAGCAACCTGCAAGCTCCAGGGACAGACAGTGTCCGGGAAATGGACCCTGGCCTCTTACATGGAAGGTGGTAGTACTGCCACTGGGGCACCATGGCCCCCAGATATCAGAGTGCCTTGGCGTCTGCTCCAGCTCATAGTGACCTTCTAGAGGGTTTCTAAGGAACAGCTGATGGATTTAAACCGCCCACCTGTGGTTAAGGAGCTCTGGTAGCGTAGTGGTTACGAATCGGGCTGCGAACCGGAAGGTCAGCAGTTCGAAACTACCAGCCGCTCCGCGGGAGAAAGATGAGGCGATCTGCTCCCGTAAAGATTTACAGCCTCGGAAACCCTATTCAGGGTCGCTATGGGTCGAAACTGACTCGACGGCACTTAACAACAACAACAACAAACCTGTGGTTAACAGTCCAGTGCTTATCCTAGAGCACCACACCAGAATTCCATGTCATCTGTAGCTCTTGCCTTATAACCTAAGGAAGCCTGTAAGATCTCCTCTAATAAAGAAGGACCTCTTTGGTATAAATGACCAGTTCATTTTACAATAGCAAAAGCAAATGGCAAAGGTGTCTATGTGTGAATTAGTGATTACACCTCCCTAGGTACTAGTCAGTGCCCTTCCATTGGAAATCACATTGTTAGTTGTCACTGAAGCCTAACCCAAAGTGTCATCTGGTGTTGGCTTCTGTCTAAAGTCTAAAGAGCACATGACCCAAGGCAGAAGTGGGGGAGGCAGCTGAATGATAGTTGGGTGGGCAGCTCCCAGACTGAAAGGAAGAGGAAATGACACTGACTCCTTTTGTGGTACCAGGCTTCCTTGGAAGGGACTGTCTCTTCTGTACTCTGATCGCAGACGCATGCTTCTTATGTGTGGACGCACAGATCCAAACTTTAGTATCTTTGTGGTGTATGTGTAGGTCATCACACCATACCCAAAGGGAGGCAGAGTAGACAACTACAACCCACCGATGATATCCAAACTTTGTTTCCTCACTTTGATCCTCACTTCATTCTGCTTTTTCCAAAGGGCAGTTGAGATGTATTCTTTTCCTTTACCCAGGAAGCATTCAGTGATGGAAGGAGAGGTCTTAGCAGTCCCTAGGATGTTCTGCTTCATGGCAAATGCTAACAAGCTGTAATTTGCACCAATTAAAGGCCCACATAAAAGGTGCAGCTCCAGAGAGAAGCCTTGCCTTTCCCAGTCATTTGTCACAAAATATCAGTACAAGTTGCTTATGGATAAACTGCCATTTCTCATTTGCAGAGATGGGAGAATCAAATGCCTCTCTTAGAGAAAGGCTCTTTGTCACCATGCCAAATGCCTAGTAAAGATACATGAATGATGACTCAGTATGTTTCATTTCAGTAGAAATGATACCTTTTCTCTGGTAGTCAGAAAATAGTGATTCCCAGCAGATATTGTTGTTAAGTGCCTTTCATAGCAACCTTATATGTATAGGGTTACCAATGAACAGCTGGTGGGTTTGAACCGCTGACCTTGCAGTTAACAATCCAGGGCTAAACCAGTTTATTTAAAGAGCTATATGTCATCTTCCCCACTTGTACTTGCAGCTTGGGTGGGAGCTACTTCTTTCAAGTGGACCTCTTCAACAGAGGAAGAAAGAAGATTGAGGAAAGTTTTATGAATGAGTGTGGTGGGACAGCCCACGGCACCAGATGCCACTAGTACTCAGTTCCATGTGCCTCTGACTGCCCTTTGTTCAGAACAGCCCCTTCTGCAGGGAGAACAATACTGCCATAGTTAAGGCCGTGTCCTTTCCAGTCATTCACCTCCTTGGGATGCTGGGTCATCTCAGTAAGAAGGTCATTTGCATTCTTACACTATACTAAATGCATCATGACAGTCTTGTGACAACAAAAGACTTGGTGGCTCACTTTGGAACAAATTCCCTGATGCAGCTAAGCTCCCAGCTCATGATACACAAGTAAGAATGGTGAAGAAAGGTCACCCCTAGGAAAAACGTGAAACCCGTACCCAAAGTACAGCTTGAGGTTTTGTCTACATCTGTCACATGGGTTCCCCACAGGGCAAGCCTGAGACACAACTTCACCTCTCAAAACTTGCAATTTTAGAAAACGTCTACTAATGCTGTGTGTTCTTTATGTAAGGCATTGGAAACAGATACTTTTGAAAGATGTTTCCCACTGATAACTTAAATCAGGATGTATTTGTGTGTGTGAAGTTTCAGAATTTCCCTGGAAGTGGTCTTTGGGAGAGTGGCAAAGAGTTTGCATTTTATCTCACAGTGAATGATGTCACTTTCAAACTAAGAAACTTCTGATGTTTACTGCATGGGTATTTACTTTATCTTGATGGAAATACCGACATGTTTTCCTTCTGTTTTTCTTGATACTCCATGCCTTCCAAATCAGAGCTCAAAAAGCCAAAGGTAAGGAGCAAAGCACTCTGTTCTCCTTGAAACTGTAGCAGTGATTTGCTCATATTGGTACTTCTTGAACACAGAGCCTTGGACTTGCTGCATAGGCATTTATGACACCGTGGACCCAATGTGTGGACCTAGCTGCACCGTGTAAACCAGCTGCCACATCTGTCTTTATGAATAAGAGAGTTTTGATGCATGTGGACTAGTGTTTTCCACCTGTTCCTATGCATTTCCACACAAGGTGTCAATAGTTGTTAACGAGAAAAGATTTCAGTGAGCAAAAATGTTTATAAAATGTCCCGTATTATATTTGGAGTCTCTGGGTGTTGC